TTATACCTCTGGTTCTTGTTGCATCATAGACAACGGGTCAAGGTTTTTTTTTACCTTTGGTTCTTGTTGCAACATAAACAACGGGTCAAGGTCCTATTATAAACCTGATTTAGCTTTCCTGGAGTTTAGAAATCCCTTGTCGTGCTGTGGGTCTCATTGTTCTCTTTGGGGTTCTCATCATGTGATGCCTTTAGGAAAATGCCACATTGACAAAGCATGAGAGAGATGTTAGATATATACATCATCACCTATTACCTCCTATTGATGCATTTAAATCCATAAGACTCGACGGGTGAAAGCAGACAATATCAATAGCAGGCTAGATCATTACATAAGGTATCAGAGCCATTTCATGCTCTTAAACAATGATGGGGCAAACCTCAGTGAGGATACTGAGTCTCAGGGTATATAAGTCAACACTTGTAACCCCTTATTGATGAGTTTAAATTGTGAGACCCAATGGGCTGAAGCAGATAATATGAATAACAGGCTAGTTCATTACTGTCTTTGTGCAAAAGGCATCCAAAATATGGCAGAAGTTGTTGATTTTTTGACTTTATTGCATATATATAATTTTGTACATATTTGCTTAGAAGCTTATTTTTAGTGGTTAGATAGAATTTAGTAACAAAAACGATGTTATTTGGATGGGCTTTTGTCTATGTGCAAAACCAATGCAAAATGTTACACAAGTACACAGTTTTTATGACTTTACAATTTATAGATAAATTTGCACATAATTGTTTAGGAAGTCATTCACTAAGTTGATCTTATTTCACTACAAAATGACATCCTTTGGATGCCTTTTTGTCTTCACGTGAAAATCACACAAAATGTGGCAAAAGTTTGCAATTTTTATGACTTTATTTGTAATTTTGCCTATGCCTACTGAGAACCTGATTTTGAGAGGTTGATTCAAATTTAGTCATAAAACAATTTCGTTTGGATGACTTTTAGTATTCATGCAAAGCCATGGGAAATATGGTACAAGTTTGTGATTTTTATCTTTTTTTGGCTTCTATCTAATTTTGCACATGTTAAGAAAGTCATTAAGTGAGTGGATCTAATTTCGTTACAAAATAATTTTGTTTCTATGAGTTTTTGTCTTTGTGTAAAAGTCACACAAAATATTGCAAATGTTCATGATTTTTATGATTTTATTTGTAATTTTGCACATACTTGCTAAGAACCTATGTTTGGGAAGGTGATTCAAATATGGTCACAAAATGATTTTGTTTGGATGAGTTTTTGATGGGAATCAAGATGACCCCACATGTACCATGTCAAGAGATCCATCACACATTTCAGGAGGTCCAATCACGAGAGTTAGAGCTAGAAAGATGCGAACAACTTTAAATGGCCTTATTGAGCAGATCTGGGTTGATAACAACATGCAACAAGTAAATCGAAGCTTGGATGATTATCAAGGCATGGTAAACATCATTCAGATTCAAGAGAAGCTTAATTGAGGTCATTTATGCTAAATTACACAGTTTGTGTCAAAATCTCGCAATTCTGTCACAATTTATAACAAACTAATATTTCATTTTTACTTTAGGTTACTTTCAGTGATTTTCACATTTTTTGTATTATTTTGGTTCATTTATTTGAGGCCCAATTCGTGGTTATTAGGATTAGGGCTTAGGGTGTTAGTTTCCTATTCTAATTAGAATTACTTTTCCCTATTTAAAGGGCTTGTAATCCTAATTGGGGGGAGTTATTGAATCTGAGTTTTTGAGAGACTTTTCTCTTTGGTTCGTTTCAGAACTTATCAAGATTATTCTTGTGGCGTTCTAACCTGACTTATCATTCTCGTTCTTAATCGTTTGAGAGTGTGGCTTCAACCAATTATACCTCTAGTTCTTGTTGCGTCATAGACAACGGGTCAAGGTTTTACCTTTGGTTCTTGTTGCGACATAAACAAAGGGTTAAGGTCCTATTATAAATCTGATTTAGCTTTCCTGGAGTTTAGAAATCCCTTGTCGTGCTGTGGGTCTCATTGTTCTCTTTGAGGTTCTCATCATCTTGGTATCAAAGCATCAGATCCCTAAATCAGGTTTCCGTATCTTTAATTTTCAGTTTTTATCTTCAAAAACAAAACAAAAAAAAGATTCAGTGTCATTCTTCTTTTTCTTATTTTGCTCTTCTGAACCTGTGTTGCT